CATTAAAAATGAGACTTAAACCCAACTGAAGGGACGAGGGACACGCGACATCCACAACATCACACAGGCTGATTACAAAAGGTCTCTGAGACAGAAATCCATGACAGTCGCTGAGTGACGGCTTCTAGAAACAGATGTCCACGGTCTGCTTCAATCCGTCTTAATGTAGAGGAGGCTGACAGCGAATTTGTCCCACCTAACCAGCTGCAGGAGCTGATGTAATGGAAGGAGCGTGTCCACATTCCCAGGGTCCTATGCTCCACAGTTCAATATTCTCTTAACAATCATAAATATTAGCATTTCACAAATGTTTTCCAGTCCAACTCAAACCCTAATAATCAGAGTCTTACAAGTTCCTACCAAAGAATGCGTCATTTTAAGCAAATACTTTTTCAGGGTCCCACTCTGCGTCTTTAAGCTGGGGGACCTACGACCCTGGGAACATAGGACTGTCAACGTCTTATTCTTTCTATGACTAATGCAGAAGACGTGCTTTGTTGGACTACAAGCTACAAACAACTGCGAAAGTCCCAGTTTGAACTAGAAACACAGACGTCAAACTGAGTAATGACTGGGGACAATCACACAAATACATTCCCTACATCTGCAACTGCCTCCACTGTGCAGTGAGTGTGAAAGTTCATTCAAAAAGAAATGAGAAGCGAGTGTTCCTCCACAATCCATACATCCACTCTCATCTCTCAGATGAATCTCTGAGGATCGAGCCGTGGAAAGTTCATCTGGAAGAGGAACCCGTTCGTCTGTGCTTCCACTCGCTCGGCTGTCAGTCAAAGATTCTGGCGAGCACCTGTCCTGGCAGCCGCAGCAGCTGACAGCCCAATTGTCCTTCCTGGGACCTGACGACGGTTCCCTCTTTATCTTCCATCGGCTCATTTAAAAATTCATGAGAAAACCTCAAAGTTGATCCAACGCTGTATGTGACCTCTACTCTGCCGTGGATTTTACTTTTATATTTTAGGAATTTAAGTGACACTCACATCCTGAGCCACTTAAAGTACTGCAGGACATGAAAACTGTTTCTGCCAAGGTGCCCTCGTGATACTTCACCTCAAACGTTTTCCTTTGGCCATATGATGCACATCAATATCAGAAACAATCAAGAATACTTCACAGAGTACTGCATCGTGTAGAGTTCAAAGCTGTAATAATTTAATAATAAGTAAATAAAGCACGGCAACTTCTGTAGAAGCAAAGAAGTGATGGAAAAGAATCATTATAAAGCTACGCTGTCTTGTTTTATAGACCGACTCAATATATCTCAACGGCGCCTGAAAACAAACCAGAAAGCAACAAACAAGTGGAGTACATTTAGTGACTTTGTGTTTTAATGGCACAGGCGTGTGTGAGCGGAACATCACGTTGTGGATCTGCAGCCAAACCGAAGCCAATAAAAAGGATGGATCCGTGTAACCTGACTCAGTACAGAGTCAACAAGTCTGGGCCGTGACAGCTTTATTGAGCCCATTCATTCAGGGAGACGAACCCTTAGCTGCTGTGCACACAGATAAGGGATGATTGCAGAGGAGTGCAGCCAAATACAGAAAATGCAGGAGAAGAAGTGACATTCAAAATTAACACAGTCGCTCAGGAGCAGCGGCACGGAGAACAAAAGTCTCTCTGGCTACATCTGCCCCTCTCTTGCAAAAGCTGAAATAAACTTAAGGGTATTTTCCTTGTTTCTTTACTTTTATCTCCCACCATGAAATATCAAAACAATCTGAAACGATCAATCCGCCTCAGGGTTGAGTGGTTGGGTTTGGTGGACGGCGCAGAGTTTACAGTAGCTCTGGTCATCCAGCAGCTCCGGGGGCATGTGACATTTTCGCCGCTCATGCGAACGGGATCGTTTGTGAGTAATCGCTGTTGGAGGAATTAAAGAGCAACGCTGTAGAGAAGTAACAGGAGGTGTTGGCAGATTTATGTGTGTGTCTCTTCTTGAACTACAAATCCAAAATCTTTGAAACAGGCTCGTGGATTGATTCCCACTGTGGTGACTCATGCATGAAGAGTTATTCATTTATACAACTGTCTCCAACTGTTAGAATTCCACCAAAGAAAGGTTGAACTTTCGGACGTGTTTAATCGAATCATTGTTTATATGAAGCAGAGTAGCCGGTGGTGTTTAAAAACAGACAAAGCAATGATAACTCGAAGCTGAAGATTTCCAGAGGTGTTTGGAAAGTTTGCTCAGAAACTAGAATGTCACTCAGTGGAGCTCATATCTCCGGCCAGGCCGCACAACCCTGATTGTCTGGTTCTTATAGCAGAAATATATTTATTTAAAAAAGGAAGTGGTCTGGTAATCTAAATGGATTGTTTGTCATAATCCTGGATGTCGATGCCCTTTAATCCACATTCACTCAAATATTTAATAGATTTTTTTCAGGCCCCAGACCTCCACCAAGTTTGGTGCAAATAGGTTAAGTCAGTTTTGTGCAATCCTGCTAACGGCCAGAGGGTAAAGAAAAGGAAAATAATTTAAAAAAGAATCAAGATAAGTAACTTTCCACAGTTTAACCAAATAGAAAATTCAACACAAATGAAAAAGCCCGAAGCACAGAAGTCCACAAAGAAATACAGCTTTTAAAAGAACTGAAAGTTTTTACCAACATTTGATTCTAAGATTCACTGTGTGCAAAGTAAATTAGTTTCTGGAGGCTAATGTTCAACCTGCACAGTGAAACATGAATTCACTATAATAATTTATGTTCAAACACAACGTGAACGCAGCTCACCTCTCTGCAGGTTGTTGTCTCATTCCACATGTTCTCAGTCTGGGCCTAAGGTCTGGGCGCCCAATGATGATGCCTTCAAATCAACTGCCCCAAGAGGATTCTGGGAAATGTAGTATAAAAAGTCTGTGCTTTTATCCAGTCCTCGCCTACAGAAAAAGAGTTTACACTGAGTTATCTTACTGATAATAACTACAAAAGTGATTTAACCTCTATAACCACTAAACATTTTTGTTACAAGTTACAGCAGAAAGTTTAAAGATTTTTAACACTCATCTATCAAAATAAGGCTTCTCCTCTTAAATTAAAATAATAATACATGCACATTATTCAACAGTGAGTTTGAAAATGACGTGCATATGATACCTATTCTATCATAAATCTATTTTTATGGAAAATATATTTAGAGCATCTTCTCTCTTTTTTCCTAAACGGGTTTGTTGTTAACATGTGTTTGTGAGCCCACATACACAAACAGTGTGTCTGACTCAGTGAGAACTGTGTGTTCCACAAAAGTGAACACTTGAATAAAGGAGTTAAAACCTGCGTGAGTGTGAGTGTGAGTGTGCTTCACCGAATCAGCTTCACATAGAAAAAGTGACATGTTGGCCGGTGGCAAAGTTAGTGGGCTGGTATGTTCGTGGTTCATTGTGCTTCTGCTTGGAGGAGATAGGAAACAGTACTTTTAGATTTACTGCCAGGATTTAACAGAGCTCTACGACGTCTACTGCACATCTATCATGCTGCACCACACACTGTGAATAAAGATGGACGACACGCCTCCACTTCCTCCCATTGTACCAAAGTGAAGCTCAATCATCCTGGATTCAGCTGCTGCCATCTTGTGCTTTTTGCGTCAGTGTAGCGCAGATCGTTTAGAATGATGGACGACGGGACTGCTGCCTAAATGTGAAGCCAGTGGGGTTGATTGCCCCCTGGTGGCTGGCTGCAATATAGGTCATAAACCTCGCCTCCTCCATGTTAGTCGGCCAAGTCAAAATAAACACAAAAAGATTTTTCTCAAAGCTGATTTCTGATATTTTAACCAGGTTTGTTTGAAAATTTATAGTTTTTGATTTGATGGAATATAATCAGGATAAAACATCATGATTGACAGCTGAGAGCAAATCAGGATTGGTCGATGTGTCTGCGGCCTCTCGCTACTGAAGCCCCACCCCCTGATCGCTACTGGGTTCTAATTACGTCTTTCATAAACGTTCCTGTATAGTGGGAGGAAGTAGAGATGCATCATCCATCTTTATATACAGTCTATGTGCTGTGCAAAACTTTGTCCGTGAATGAATTTAAATATTAGAATGCAGTGCTTCACAACGCTTGCAGAGGCATGTGAGTTGACTGCACATGGAGACGTGCCTAACATGGCTCCTCTGCAGGGATCAGATCAATATCTGTGGAGATCCTCACTGTAGTTTCCTACAGGCATGGAGCTGCTGCGCCTCTGACCTTTCAGATGCTTCCTGTCTGGCTGATCCGCATCGATCTGACCCGGAGGTGAGTTTCAACATGGAGCCTGTCAGTTGGATACCAGCATGTGTTTGTGAGTGTGTGTGTGTGTGTGTGTGTGTGTGTGTGTTTGTGTGAGGGTGTGTGGGTGGGTGGGTGTGTATGCATACTTGTGTGTAGTACAGAAAATATTGTTCCAACACTGTTAGTTACCTCTGGGCATTGGGCAGTGGACACACACACACACACACACACACACACACACGGTTATCTCTACTCCGATCCAAAAATGTTGTTCGCTCCATATATAACACCTTTTTTAATCTGTAAATTAATATTAACATCGTCCACAGAAAGTCTTAGTTTATTTACTCACAAGTTATTTGCTTGGACACAGATTCTGACAAAATGTGAAGCTTGAACTGAAAAACAAAAGTCTTCTTGTCCTGTTTCATCCACAAACATTCAGTCTTCGTCTATCTGAGTCATTGACATGTGAGACGTCTGGCACCAATGGTCCTGGTTACATTCAAGTAAAATTATTTTTAAATTAGACAACATGTGTAAAACAGTACAATAAACTTTAGACCTTGACTGCTTAACTCAAAGAAAACACCTTTGCATTTAGAGAAACATGTTTGTAAAATTCACTTTAATATTTGAATTAAAAACTGCATCTGATCACATGGTCACAAACCCACAAATTTCTTTTAAATGTATTTATGATAAAATATTTTAAAGTCCTTGTCTAGTTATTATTTCTGGAGTCCTAATTGAGTCTCAGGTGTAAAACAATAATATTTTTTTTCTATTCAAACCAACATGAAAACGTCTGAGGCTGAATACATCTGACTGAATGAAGACTTTTAACATTTCTCCGCCTCATGTCCCATTTCCTCTTCACTAATGTTCGCTAACTGCGAATGAAGTCAACACCAGAACAAAGTATTTCCAGTGGCTCACTGTACAGAACAAAACTGCAACACATGTCCAATCAATGCAGCACGGCTGAAAGTCACAATCAATAATCAAAACGCAGTGAAGCCGACGCACACAAACCAGAGCTCGAAGCTTTGATGAGCTGTTGTCCTCCAGAACAAAGTGTGTGTGGAAGCTGCTTCTCCCTCACTGAGAGTAACATGAAAAACACACACGTCCATAAAAACACACACGTCCATAGACAAAGATGTAAAATGGAGAAATAAGAAAAGAATAATATCTTTATAATAACAATACATTTATTCGTGTAGAACTTATCTAAACAAGGTTACAAAGTGCTTCACAAAAACCCAATGAATAAAATAAATAAATTTAAGTCACGTAACAGGTTGAAGTTTTAGAGGACGGAGGGGTGACTCTATTTTGGCTGAGAAGCTCTAATGCGCTCACGTCGGTGGCTTGAAAGTGACGTCAAATGAAATACAACATTTTTCTTTTTCCCTCCTGTTGCAGTAAAGCGTCTGGAACGAGTTAACGAGTTCACGTGACATCCTGAGAACACAAATACACAGAGCGCCGCTTTAATGAAAACAATGCTTTTATTTTTTTTAAGTGATGTATAACTTCTTATTTACACCAACAAATGTCCGTTAACTGTATCTACTGCTGGCTTTATAAATGGATCTTCATCGTAGCTGGAGGGGAGGAGAGTGGGATGTTGTGCAAATACAAAATACACAGAAATACAGTTACAGTAAAAATGCTATTGGGATAGCCAACATTCATGCACAAGAGCTGTTATCCTTGGGCTTAAAGAAGGTACTTCACTGAATAAGGCATACAAACTGTCGCTGGAAATACAAAAACTACATCTCAAAGTATTAAGTTAAAGGCAGCCAGATTCTCCGTTTGTACTTTGACTTAGTACTTGCAGATATCCTGTGACCTGCACGACTGAGAAATCTTTGTCGACACACAAAAAAAAATAAGCAAAGTACAATAACTACACAGGTTCATTAGGGTTCGGCGTATTCCTCATTGTCTTGTACAAGGTCAAGTGCAAAATAACCTCTGAAAGGAAAAGTAGAAAGAGGCATTGAAAGCTAAGTGGTGGTGGTGAAAGGCTGGAATAAATTAGCAGATGATGACGAACAAATGGCGAAGGGAAGAATGGAAACAAAATGAACAATTAGTGAACACGGTCGAAAAATATGAATAAATTAAGGGGGGGGAGGTGAATAAAAATGCAATTGAGGATGAGAGAACCATTTTAAATACGAGTTCACTTCGTGGAAAAGCTTTCAATTCGTAGAGAAAAGGGAAACGGTAGAAATCCTCAGTAGTTCAGTCATTCTAAAACTTAGCAAAGTAAAAGTGCCAGTATTGAGTCCAAAATATATCTCCTGCAGTATGTCCCACCATGTGCCACAAACTGGTTTTAATTTGTACGGTAATTTATTTTGTAGGAAGAGTGGAGAATATTTTCAATCTCAGGGATGGTGTGGAAACAGCTCGATGACGCTAAATAAATGTGCACCAAACTAATCAGAGGGATAAAATAAATGAGCTAATAAATAAAATTCATCAGAACATTCAGGTGAGACCATCAATTCAATCATTTCCTTCATGTGGTTCCTTCATTCCTCCGCTTAAGAGTCGTCCTCAGTTTTAATGATGTGGAAAAGTGTGACATTGAACAGGACCTGGTGGCCGTTGTTCCAGCCGTACAGGGTTCGATCCCTGGCGTTGTAGTCCAGCATCGACATGTGGAAGTACTGGTTATGAAAGGGGATGTCTGTGTACTCGTACGTGGACGTCTTAGTGGAGTAAGCGTAGTACACCTTGGCCCCCGTGAGGTGGGAGTTAGTGATGTAGAGTGTCCCGCAGATCATAAAAGACTCGCCGGCGTTCCTCTTCGAGTACTCCGTGTTCCACGTGTTGAGGATTTGGAGCGTGTCGGGGTTCAGCTGGCTGATGACGATGTTCCCGGCGTTCTGGTTGGTCGCGTACACGGCCCACAGGCCCAGCTCGTCCGCCATCAGGTCGATGTCTGAGAAGCCCCCCCACGTGTAGGGGTACACGTTGTGGAAGCCCGCCGACTCCAGGGCCCTCTGCGTGACCACGCGGCCCGTCTCGAAGCTGTACCTCACCACGATGTTGCTCTGCATCTTGTTGTAGTACAGCGAGCCGTTGTACACCACGTGGTTGGTCCCGGCCCATTTGAAAGGAAGGTTGTATGTTCTCGACTCGACTCCCGCCACGAAATCATCAACGGATTTAAACTCTTTAACGATCTTGTTGTTGGTGTAGCTGTCCATGTACCAGACCTGCAGACGAGTGAACACAGAGAATAATCCAGTGATTTTCGGTCCAAGGTCAGTTTGCAAGAAACTCTATCTTTACTGAAAAACAAATATGAAACGATGCATTCTGTAAAAAAGAGCCAACTAGTTAACGTTTAACTTTTAGTAAAGAACACTGCAACTAAGGACAGGCTGTTTCAGCTACCTGTAGAAATAAGAGGATTCTTTTTTGTCGATGAAGTATTCGAGGGAGTTTGTTTGTCTGCAAGTTTACAGATTTCCATGAAACTTGTTGGGAGGACATGGGCTTTTTTTTTTTTTTTAACTTTCTTTAACATCTTTCAACATTTTCACCAATTTCCCAGAACACAATTCCCAGATGTTAAAAAATCATTAAGAAGACTAAATAATAGATATTCTGATATATGTTTCCGTCTAAGAAACAAAAAGGAATCTTCATTTAGCACAGAATTCAAAATGACGATTATAGTTGCACTTTAATTACAGAAAGAAAGATTCTTCTGTTCCCCTCATGACTCCCCACGGTGTCTGTGTTTTTACGTTCGTGTTCCATTATTACAGCTCAGACTATCAGAGGAGACACGAGTGGTGATAATTGGACTTAAAAATATTCTCTCTGTTGTTTTTTTAATACACAAATAATTCACACTGTGTTAAATAGTTCCCTATGAATATAAATGCAACACTTCAGTCACGCAGAGCTTATTAAACATGAACTACTTATTCTTCTCTCATTCTCTCTGCTTCGGCAGCAGGAACGTTATCTGTACGTTTTTTAAATATTTTATTCGTCACTAGACTCAAAGACGTATTCAGTTCAGTTATTACAGCACAAACCATAGATCCATATTTCGAAAAATCAATTAATTTCATGTTCCGATGTTGCTATGACCAAATTCTACAGCAGATGTAACAGAAGAAGATCGCTGCTGGTTTCGTTTAGTTAAAGCTCGGATGGATCCAAACACATGAAATTTAAAAACACTGCATCAAAAAAACAGAGAAAGTTCAGAGCAAATTTAGAATAGATGTGTGAAAAGCTTCTACTTGGTAGATGTAATGACGGAGATGTGACATCTGACAAATAAAAGGCTTTTTTCACAAAATTTTTCGACCTTAAGAACTCGGTCCTTGTGAAAACGGCACCGGACCTCTGCAGCTTTAGTTTATACAAGAAAGAGTTTATACAAGAAAGAAATGCAGATTATCTTGATGCACTGTAATTAAAATCACAAGAAGTTTTCCACAGGGTAACACCCTCCTCGTTTCTGTGCCTCTACCCTTTGACTATTTGCATGTAAAGTTTTTCAAAAGCAGTTTTAACTGTCAACTGGTTTTAAATGCGTAAACATTTCTAAAGATGCTTCCCCCTTAAAAGGCTCAGCATTAACGTGTCTAGCTGGTGGAGTATATATATTAGCTATGATGAAGACTGTGCCAAGCAGTAAAAAGTGCACACACATTATTAGTGTTATTGATTAGTTATATCACATTGAGATAAAAGCAATAAACAACATGTCTTCCCTCTAAACAACAGGGAAGCAGTAAGTCAGTGCATTATTAAACCTGACTGGAAGATAAAGAAAAGCACATTAAGGCCTCACCCGGTTGTTTTTGGGAGACGCCTGCGGGTCGGTCATCCAGGCTCCGAATCTCGTCCCTGATGTTTTCACTGTCAGCGGCCCGGTGATCTTCATTAGCTTCCCACATGCTGCGAACACATCACACAGCTCCGGTCACACACAGCTCAAACTTCTCCCTCCCCACATGATACAACCGCAGCCAATGTTGTGATGTGACTTCTGGAATAAATATCAAAGCACTGGAGTGATTAAATCTGTCAGTGGCTGATTTCTCCAACCAGAAATAAAAGTCAAAGTTTTTTGACTCAGTGTGCAGCATCTCTGCATAAATGAAATACGGAGGATAAGAACAAAATCTGCCACAACACCACAAGCTGTGAAACAGCGTCTCATGATCTCAAAGCCAGTTTAACGTTTATCCCACATGGTTTAATATCATCTCCCCACACTCCTCGAATTGTTCCAAATGACAGTAGATTTGAACTTGAGCTTAAGTGTAAGAACTTAAACAGCTATTTTACCTAATCGGTCAGAGCTCAAGCACATCGAATGCTCAAGCAATCGTTTAGAGCTCCGAAAGATTTCCAGCCACTTTCCATTAGCATTCACGTTAGGTATTTACACTGACACTTTGACAGGTCCCATCCCTGTTGATAACCCGGCAGTTGGCAAATTGGAGCTTCAGTTATGCAAAACCTTTATCAGAGACAAAGCTGCTCCGGAGGCAGAATTGATCTTATTAACTGAGTTCACTGTCGATGGGCGGAGCAAAGAAAAACAGCAGCTTCTCAGTGCCCGGTCACAATAAAATAAAGAAATTATATGGTGCTTTTCCAAAAGGTTTCATGAGACAACAATAACACAGATGAGTCATAAAATCATCAGAATTAAAAGAAAACTGTTCAAAATGTCCAGATCAAGTAAAATCAAGAGAGTGTCTGATAAAAGCATGTCTTTAAAAAAAACGCCTTAAAAGAATCTAATGAGTCGGCTGACTTGATTTCCTCGGGCAGATTGTTCCAGAGCCTCGGGCCCTGACTGCAAAAGCTCTGTCCCCTTTAGTTTCTGGAACAGATAAGAGACCTCTGCCTCAGGATGTGAAGGTTAGAGCACTCAAAGGTACGATCTACTCCAAACCAATGTCGTTAAGAATCGTAGAACTGATCATTGAGATCTTATAATCATTTAAATAAGATGCTGGGAGCCAGTCTGAAGAAGCTAAACCAGGAGTAAGGTGATCGTGTTTCCTGGCTGCTGAGTTTTGCTCAGTTGCAGTCGATAAAGAGATTTTTAGAAGATGTGCAGGATAGTCGCTGTGTCTTTAAAAATTCAAATAGAAGGTGTTTTCTATGACTGTTAATATTGACAGGTATTAACCGGTTCTATGACAGGTTTGATATGTTCCACTAGGGCACCAGCAGGTGGCAGGATTTGAGTTAAGCGATCTCTATTTTGCTTGAGTTTAACATCATCGGGAAAAGACATGAGGTGAGGTTCCAGGTTCTGTGGGTCTGACAGGTACATCAGCGTGTCATCAGCATAACAATGGAGAGAGACACCATGTTTGTCCAGAAAGTGATTAAAGATGTGTAAAGACAATAAATTGGTCCCAGAACAGACCCATGTGGTACACCAGACTTAACAATAGAAAATGATAAAACATAGAGACACAGAACCTTTTATATGACAGTTGAAAAACACTGTAGGGTTGTACCAGATATCCTCACCCAGTTCTTTAGTCTGTAGATGATACAGATCTAGAATTTTTTTTTTTTTTTAAATGATGCAGCCGCTTTTTATCTTAAAATGGGAAATAGAAAAGTTGGTTCTGAAAGCAGAGGGGACCCAGCACACTTTCTGCCTCCAGCAGCAGGTCTTTGTCTGTCCCTGCAAGAAATGTGTCAGTGATCCCTTTGGCATTAACAAATCTAGAGTCCCCGAGCCCAGCTGGGATTTTTCTGGACTTACTGAGTTTGTTCATACAGTTACGAAGCCTATTTTCCAGGTTCAGGACCCTCTGCTGCAGCTCCTCGTAGTCGTAGGCTCCCATCTCCTCCTGGATTCCCATCAACACACCCGACAGGTTTCTGATCTCCTCTTTGAACTGGGAGATAAGCTTGGTGTCTGTCTTGTATTGCTCCAGTACAGGGATCAGCGGCTGCAGGGACTCCATCTTTCCCTTCAGCTCCTAGACACAATAACAGCAAAGTGAGAAAAAAAAATGCATACCTGTCTGAACAAAGTCTGTCTGGAAGACGAATTGTTTGTTGTGAATGCAGCAGGATGTTTTGCTGTAATAGAGCCAACATCTTTAACAGAGGCAGAAAGTGTTGTCTCCTCCCGACTGGCAGCTGCTTTCATTTGTGTAAGAAAACTGAGCTCCTCAGACTCAGATCAATACCAAAATATAGATATGTTCTTATGGCAGTGAGTCAATAAACACTTTCAATTGTTTTTGCACAAATGACGACTTTTTGTCCACATCTTACTTATGGATTATTATTGAACTCACCAGACTTAATGGGGGAAAGGCATATATTGATTTTCTTTCATGTTATTGAAATAACACCATAACATTGACAGCAGCGAATGTCTATATTGAAACTTTATCATTTGTGCTGTGATGGAGGAGAAGGGCGGAGGGAGAAGCTGCTGTTGGAACCAAACAATTTTCACTGATGATAATAGCTATAATTATTATTGTAATTACTCTTATTATTGTTGTTATGTAAAGGCAATGTCAATTATATAATGTCAGTTCATGTTGAAGTCATCGCTCCTCTGTGAAAGTTCTTTCAGAATTGTTCACAGTGGAAATTATCTTTGTATCAGAAGATTTGGATTTCAAGAAAATCTACATCTTGGATTTATTGTGACAGAAAACTTCCTTGTTGAGGAATAAACCACATTAACTCACATTCTTTCTGAGCCGTTTCTAACTATGCTGCTTGGTCACTGATGTAACAAGTATTCCATTTTTTTATTTGTGTATTTATTTCCAACGTGTTAAAACTAAATATATGAATAATACAAAGGAAAACCCAAAAACATCAGCTGACATATCAAAATCCCAGAGTAAGAAACTCATAGAGTCCCTTTATTGTGCCAGATTTTTTTTTAATCAAGATCGTATGAATTATTCTCTGTAATCTCTCTAAAATCTGAAATCTTGCAATGTTAAAGAAAGACAGACAGAAATCCTGGATCTGTCCACGGATCTGTATCCACACCAAAACTCAGTGGGTACTTCTCTGACCCTTCTCATCCTTCCACTGCGCTTCGTGAGAATCCGCAGAGTAGTTTTTGTATAATGATGCTAACAATTGGACAAACAAAGAAACACTGATAAAAACATCCTCCTCCTTGGTGGAGCTAATGAGACAATCAGAATAAATAAAAACCTGCACTCAGACAGTTCCCTCTCCTTCCTAAGAACAAACTGAATAACTTCACGGAACAGTCGCTCTCACTGATGCACAGTCTTCAGTAGGTGTGATGGATACTGTCCTCCCAGCCTGTCCAGCTCTAAAGACAATCATGTCCATGTTGGACCTGAATTGATCTTATCCAGAGTGAAAGTTGACAGATTCAGATGCAACAGATATTTTCTTCTGTGATATTTCTCACTCGCTTCTCAACACAGTGTACCTGAAAGTTCTTGTTGACGAGAGTCTTCCTGTCCGACTCGATCTGCCGGAACTTTGACCGCAGCCCCTTGATCTGGCTCTCCATCCTCATGATGTACTGAAAGTCCCTCTGTGTCCGCAGGTTCAACACCTCGATTGACTGTGACATGTTCTGCACCTTTTTGAAAAGAGTGAAACAGCGCAGCATTGATTTTCCCGTCTGGCACAAGATTAAAACGTCCTCCGTGTTCAGCCGTCTCGGGGCCCGCTGAGCTCCAGCGTCCAGAGGAATAAATCAACATTTTGACCTCGTACGTGTTTGTCTTGAAGGCGTTTACTTGTGATCAGAATGTTTCCCGGACCTGGGACTCTTACGTGGTCGTATTCTCTGTTTTCTCTCAGTATTTGAACATATTATTCACTTTATCAGTTTTAAATTGCTCGTGGTTTTAAGAATAAACTATAATCTGCTGCTTGAGAACACATTTATTTGATGCTTTTATAAAAGCTCACTAGAAATGTAATGCAACCAGCCAACACTATTGGAGCCCATCAGTGGAAAAGTGGCTCAACACTGTACTCTGAATACTTTTCCAGCTCTGGTAGACGGATCCTGAAATGGCCTCACAGAAGCCCAGAAGCAGCTTAGTACATTAGTGTCAAAAGGCCCCAGTGAATGACAGTGAACGCCCTTTGGCGTAACACATTAAAATGTAGGTTAGAGTGGTGCTTCCTTACATGGCATACTAATTGTTTGTTTGTAGAAAATGCATTAAATCACTATTGTGATAAAGGAAAAAAAAAACATGGAATTAAATGTGATGTTTGCACTTCAGTTCACAATCTTGGCTGTTTTGTTTGGTTTATTTCATGAAATCAATAGAGAATTCATGCTTTTGTGGTAGAAAACAAATCACACGAATTCTTTAAAAGCCGAGTCGCCTTTCTGACAGAAATAACATTCCCAAAATGTGTAATAAATAAAACTCCAACAGCCTTGACTGGCTTGTTGCAGGACAACCAGGGGCAGCTCCGTTTTGTGAAGATGAGATGGAGAACGCTTTCACCTTCACAAGCCGCCATTCAGCTGATGTCACTCATGTAATATATGCATTAGTAGAAAATAGGGTTAGGGACCTGGCGGGGCCAATCTCTGCGAGGATTTGGGCAACAAAGAGGCTGAATGACGAGAGAAATCGATGTCGTGTGTCTACGTGGATTCAGGTGGGCTGGTTGCTTGCAGTAAATATGCGAGAGTGTGTGTGTGTGTGTTTGTGTGTGTTGTCACATAAACAGAAATGCGTGTGGCTGCCTGCACGCACCTTCTCCAGGAGCTGGCGGAGCTGTCTCCCTTTGGCATCTCTGGAGCACAGATTCTGTTCAGGTGCCACCACTGTGCAGACACAACGGCCATCTGCATCCTGAGCTGAGCTGTAGACCTGCCACCCCTCCTTTGGCCTGATGGTCTGCACACCAAACAGAGGCAGGGACGTAAATTCACAGCACGGACACACACA